TTCACTTAGAAAGTGAGATGGTAACATATGTAACTATAAACCAGATGGTAAAAATTGATAGTTGAACAATTTATCAAGGAGATAAATTGATAGCGTTTAAACAGAATATTACAGTGGCATTTCTCTCCATCTTAAATCATTTTGTTTTTCAATTCAGTTTTCAAGTAAAATTTGAAAAAAAAAAACAAAACAAAAAAAAACTCAAGTAAAAGCCTCCAAATGGCATCATACATTTTTAATTTATCACCTACTGAGATATGTCAAACCTATAGACTACCAAAACCATGCTTCATGAGTCTTAAATTGTTAGTATTTGAACTAGTAAAAATAAATGACTACTTGGCTATGGCTTGAATACAACAGACCATATACATGAAATTAATTTTAACATTCAGACTTTAAAATAATTATTTTATTTTTAAGCAAAGCTAACTATATATATATATATATATTTAAATAAAGGACTACAAGTGCAGAATTAGTAGGTTAATGTTTAACAATGGGTTCTAGTTACAGACATACTTGGTTTTACACAAAAGGAGTTTTGCATATGAAAATTTCCAAAATATCAGAAAGATCCAAGATATATCATAATGGAAATTTAGATATTTGGGGTCTGATTTGTATATCACCATTTGAGAGAATTCTGTTTTTTTAAGTTGCTTTTGTAGAACAAGTCCAGACATGTTTTATTTGAATCTATGTGTAAAAAGAATTTCATAGATTCAGCCTTTACACATTTCAAATATGACATTTATGGTTACAAGAAGGAACTAAATAATTTATAGCAATGCCACTGAACAAGTTCTTCATAATGGTATGTAGCTTAATGTATATTTATGCTGTCTCCAACAATAGATAATTTAACAAATAACATTTACTTGACAACATAAACAGGGAAACTTCCTAATGCCTAAGTCCTCCTTAGTTATGACCTTATATGCTGATATAAGGATATTTACATACCAAATTATAATTGAAATAAAAACCCTGCTACAGAAATATAACTGTAACGTTACATCATTAGCATGTTTTTCTATCCATTATTGGATCCATACATGAAATTCATTAAAAGTCAGGTCTCACACAAAATTCTCCATAACTGAGCCTGTGTGAGCTCAAATTTACCCCAACCAATGTAGATTTTTTTGTTTAATTTTTTGCAGGGATTAATATCATGAATATAAAATACATGTGTATTTAATTTTATACAATTTGATCTTCATAATTCAAGATATGCAAAGCTCTTTTGTGTGTTTTGCTGTTAGACTTTCACTTAAGAAATGGGAAACCTTCACCCCATCACAAACCATACACATAGCTCCATTGTTTCTTTTACACTGAGTCTCCTACTGAATCCAAATCATCCGAAGAGAGGGGTTGATACAGGTCCTGTAAGATGAAGGGCAGTATAGATTTGTTTACTTGGCATTCTTGGGTGCCCTATGGATCTCTTAAGAGTGGAGCAACATTGAATGAGAATCCTCCGTGAGCCACCACATTGGATAAAATAGAATGTAATAATTAAGAAGCCATCCAAATAGACAACCATGGTGCTGTATTTTGCACTGGCAAGAAATCCTGACTAATCTGTTTGTATGCTTTGCCTTTATGTCCAATTGAGTTTTATAGCCCTTGAGGTCTGTCAGTGCCAATACTGCTTTTCTGCATCTGGGCAATGCTTCTTTACACAGTTCCTGACCATTCTGGGAAGAAAAAGAATGTGCTTATCTGACAAAATAATTTATCAGGACCCTCAAACTGATAGTCAGAAAATTTTGGCCCTGAGGAGCTACTCAATTGCTACACATAGCATAAACTAATAAAGATTGCTTCTTTAAAGTGTTCCACTTGGAAGACAGGGAGAAAGCCAACTTGATCTCCTTCATCCCTTCCACTGTTCTTTCCGGTTCCCAATCACTCACCAATCACCTCCTCTCTTTTTCTCTCCTATCCCTTCCTGCTACTAGATCTCTCCTTTGGTAGCCAGGCAACCAGCTCAGATCTGCAGTGTCTAGAATCTTGGCTTCTTTTTTCTGTTTGTACCACCCACTTCTCACATCATCTGACTGATCAGATAATCTACAAAAGTCAGCGACGTGGGAGTATAATGGGGAGCTTCATTCAACCTACACACCACAACACATTTCTTCCTGATGTATTAAGAAATGGGACCAAAAAAAGTTCATAGATGGAAAAGAGCCTCCAAAATCTGCTTCTGTGACCAGTAAAATGCTTCTAGACAGCAACTTAAATATCACTGCTCAGGAAAAATAAGGAGGCTGCTTGGGACATTACCACCAGTACTTTTATGAAGAAAAATATCTGGCTCACAGCCGAGGACTATTTTAAAATGTCAAAAGAGGTAACCTAAAAATACGAGTTTAAGAGAAAAAAGAAAGGGGATTAAGCATCAAAATTAACAAACAGAAAAATGTAGGTTTTCTTACTTAAAAAGAGTGGTCAAATGTCTCAATATTTCTTTAAATAAAAAAGCAACTTACATTCTTGTGCTTTAAAACCAGGTAGGAAGTGAGTGTGTGTGTGTGTGTGTGTGTGTGTGTCTTGGGTGGGGGTGGGCAGCCACCTCATTTTCCTGGCCATGTTGCTAGGCAACACAGAAGGGAAAATAGAAGTAGCTACTGTTTTCCAATTTGCAATAAAAAGAGTTAATTTATTCTTTGAAGTGTCTTCTTTTAGCACTTGCCATCTTTCACTTATTTCAGTATTTCCTGCATAAGAGCATAGCCAAATATTTGAGAGGAACATTAACCAAATTTGAAACAGGATCAGTTTTTAGGGATATTCTAGACCCATTTTCACTGGGAGGGGTTATTTGATGCCGCTGCCTCCACACCAAGATGAAAGCTCTTCTAGTGAAAGCAGCTGGGAATGTCTTCACGCACTTACATGGTACATGGACGGAGGATGTTCATTTATGGCCTAAATTCAAAAGCCTGGAGACTGAACCATCTCTGAATTATCCAGCACTCTGCTCACAACATGTGCTTAATAAATGTTTTCAGATGCTGATTAAACCCTTTGTCTCTCTATAACAAAAGGCATTGTTTTTCCTGCTCTAGTATGGTGCTTGTGCTGGTAGTTTAATGAAGGATCTATAAGAAACATCCTTGTAATCATTTCCTGGGTGCCAGTGATGCTTATATAAGCTAGTGGTAACTAGATGGAAATTTTCTGCCTCAGTTGAACAAAATCATGGTGAGAATACAGAGGGCAGACAAAGGAAATTCTAGCCTTGCCCTCCAACAAAAGGAGACTTCAGCAAACCACTTTGCAGCCCCAAACTGGAGGTCTAAACAGTCAGCAAGCAGGGAGAGACACTAACCTGTGGTTAGCATTCTCAATCACTCCAATTTAACCTCAATAACTACCCATGAGCTGCATCCTGAATCTGAGTTTAATTAGCTCAAGGATGAAGAGGACTCTCTACGCCAGGTGTACTCTCTAAAGAATATAGTTCAAAAGAGAGAATCTTCTGTGAAAAAGGGTTATGTCTGTGCTACAGATCTCAAGAGTTCAGCCATGGAGGGGGCCATCGCTGGATGACAGTTGTTAAACAAAGAATCACCCCACTATGCCATTCAACACTCAAAGATATACTTTTTAGTAAACTAACTGGCCAATTCTTCTTGCATCAGCTCACTAATGATTCCTGAGCTTTAAATGCCAAATTAGACCATCTCAGTTTTGGACACACTGAGATGGAACCAGAATAGGATTTATGGGTGTTCTAAGTGGAAGAAGCCTCCTTTCTTTTGTGTTGTTTCTCCAACGGAGGCCCAGGGAGGTTAAATGACTTATCTGAGATACTACAGCCATTTAGTGGAGGAGCTTGGCCTCACCAAATCACCCAAACTATTAAATAAGGTGCCAGTGGTTCTGAGGAGAAAGAATAAAAGCTGATGTCTGGTGGGGCAGACAGAGGGAATGGGGGCTGAGTAACTCCCTCTCATTCGCTTTTAAATGGGTCTTGTGGCTACAACATTGGGAGGGAGTCTGAAAGAGGACCTTCCACCCTGCATGCATTTTAAATTTATGAGACTCAAGTATCTTATTCAAAAATATACAATATAAGAAACCAACTTCAACAATCCAGACTTCAAGTTCAGAATCCTCCCAGAAGCCTTTGTTTATGAACATGGCCGGTGAGTCCCATCAGAAGGTCTCCTGAGAGCGACAGTTTCTCCCGAACCTCACTTCTGAAATCAGGACCACGAAAGCCCTTCTTTTCCTCCACTGTAGCTCCCCCCTCCTTCCCTTCCCACTCCTTTTATTCTTGCCAGGATATAACTGGAAGGGACCAATAGTACTGATTTAAGGGGAGAAGAACCTCAGCTCTTCCATCCTGAAAGAAGAGCCCTCCTCTCCCCAGTCCTCAACATGTTTCTGGCAATGTTATCACCTTTGTGATAAGGCCCATCAACTTCTCCACTACACAAGATGTTGAAAATAAATACAAGTAGTGATGAAAGAGAAGGTGTGGGCTCATTCACAAAATATGTCACATGCCATGGGCCCCCACATTACTCTGGACCATCATCTCTTGCCATACAGCAGCTCTCCACCACGGTTTACTTGTCCTATGAGGACACTTTTCCTTTTTCTTCCTTAAGAAAAGTCGAAGGTCTATGTCCATATTTAATGAAAGTTATTATAGCTAAGGCATGTACGAGCTAATGCCAGTCACATCTGTGCATTCAGAACAAAAGAATGGGGTATTTATAAGTGAAGAAGCAGATATTTATTTTTCACAGTTAGATTTGGACAAATTTACTGAGACATTAAAAGCCCTGAGTTCTAGCTAAGAGAAATGATAATAAGCAGAATTAAATAACCTGCTGTTCATCATCGCTGGCCCTAGCCTGGTGATTTCTTAAAGACAAGCAGCACAGTTATGACAGGGCTCTTTGCAGGCACTTCGGCCACTCTGAACCCCAGCTCAGCCAGCTCTTAAAAGGGAAGCTTGCTTATTTCCTTACCCTCTGCTTCCGCAGGCTTCCTGGGCTGGTGGGTGATGGGCTTGGCGACTTGCCGGAACGTGGAGTAGAGAGCTGACTACCAGGGGTGCCATTAACTAGAAGTACAAAGAATCACAGAAAAAAAAAATTACATGTCAAAGAATTTTTCATAACAGATCATCTTCTCAGAAAAATAAACAGCTGCAAAGGGGACGCTGCTAAATTCCAAACACCTTTTTATTAGTAGTTCTGGAAAAAAGCTTTAGGGAGTAGCCTTCTTCAGATATTGACTGTTTTGTTTGCTAGTCCTGTGTTTACAATAGCAGCAAGTGCATACATTTTTCAGTGTACTTTTCACAACTTCCTGAGAAATTACTGATGCCCCTAACAGTGCCAATAGAGATTTTAAGAAGGTGGCTAAGATTCAGAGACATTTTCAGTGGGATTCATCCTTAATTCCTGCGTTCAGTTTCCCAGGACCACCCAGAGGAGCAAATATTAGCACAGCTCACAAGTGATATTAAAAGAGATTGCTGTTTTATAGCTAAGAACTCACTTCCAGAAGTTCCTACATCCACTTGTGCCCTGTAACCTAACAACTCTGAAGGACTGCCTTCAACAGGAAAAGTAATGGGCACAGATGTTTGAGAACTTCTCACAGTGTGACTTTACTGCTATTGAAAAGTAAAGTGGCTTTGCATTAGGTTTCTATCACTGGAAACTTATCAAATTCTCTAGACGTTCATGCAACATTATCACTAAACTAAATCAAAGCCACATAACTCGAGTAAGCAATTCTTTTCCCTAAGACATTACCTCTAAGAACTGATAAAACACTTACAGACATGACTTTATAAAGATATAGAAGGTCACTACAATTTTACCTGTAAAATGACATTTTTACATGCTTTACATCCACAATGAAGTAGAACTAGCAATGAGACATACAGATTCTGGCGGGTGCATAAGAAACACTTTCCACAGGGGAGAGTGATCATATATTAACTTACCTTCTATGAGTTCTAACATGGACACAGTGTTTGACCTGACACTAGCAAGAGGCGAAATCCCTTCTCAGCACTAAACCGAGCACCCGCGGAAATGGGAGGCGTCGGGTGAGCTAAGGATGGCTAAGACTGCTCCCAGAGCAAACTGAATGAGATGCAGGATTCATCAGCAGATGCCTTTTCTGCGTAAGGCTGACGTCTTCCAAGCAGCAGTGGGAGGTGCGGGTTCTGTCTTAGGCTACATCAAAGGTGTCAATTAAGCCTCATGGCAACCGGAGCCTGCAACCCCCACCCCGATACCAGGCACTCCCGGAAGCCAAGCCCTTTCAGTACTTTGCACTGAATCATAATGAAGTGCCTCAGGGGGGCAAGAGACCCAGTGACTCATCTGAAAATCAAAATGACAATAACTCTCCTAAAGCCTGGTGACTCTGGGGTAATAAGTACACCCTCGCAAAATTCAGTGGCAAGGTACATTGTTTATTGATTTTTCACACACAGTGTTTTCACCAACACTTAGGGCCCATGAAACTGGGAAGCTGCTTGTTTTGTCATCTTCTTCAGGGACCTTTAAAAAATGTCACATAGCCTATGCTGCACTAAATTGTAGTTTTGCCTTTGAAATGTATTTGGCAACTAATTTTTTTTGGCAGAGTGAAGTTAAGAGGCACTGAGGATGCTCTAATTTGCTTGCATTCTGCAGTCCTGTTTTTGTTAAATGAGCTGAATACTCAAGTCTCTTCTCACTGAACTCCCCAACCAGTGACTTTTATGGGCAAGACTCAGAATAGGCAAAGACTAAAGATGCCACAAAGGCAGCATCCACAACTGAGATAAGGCAAGAGCCCTCCACTGAGTTGACTGGAAGGCAAGCTTTGTGAATACAAAAATTCATTTCTTAGCCCCTTTCTCCTTTGTGTCTTAGTGTGCCCGGGGACAAGATAGGCATAAGTAGGTAGCTTCAAGGATAGGGTAGAGAGGGACCTCCAAGAGTTAAGAGATTAAAGTAACAATTTCCAAAAGGGATTAATAGCACACTCTCAGGAGTAGAGACCTCAGGACTGGGGACCTCAGCACATTCCAACAGGGACATTAAAGATAAGGTAAGGGCTGGGATGCAGAGTCTTAGTTCTGGGCCCAGAGACTTCCAGACAGTGAGACTGGCCCTCAGAAAAATTAGGGGAAGGTGGTCTATGTTCCCTGAGGCATGACTCCACTTCGGTTACCCTGCCCCTCCCTGGCCTGGGAGTCCCACTTTATTTCTGTTCCTTGTCTCAGTGAACTTTCTTTCTCTAAACCAATTGGCTGGTACTCTGCTGCCACCTCAGCCTGGGACTAGTTCCCAGCAGGAAGACTGGCCTAAAAACCTGGCATTTCGATATCACTTGGTCAGTCTTAAAGGTTACCCAATTTGAAAGAAATGAGCAATTTCTAAAACACGTACAGTGTGTATATTTTTGAGACTCTCATCTTACCAAGCAAATGGAAAATAAAGAGAAAATGGAAACCCAGAAAGCAGCTTTAGGAATATTTTGCTTAAAAAAGAGAAACAGGGCCCTCTCTTGTGGCGCAGCGGGTTAAAGCACTGCACTAAGAAGCTTAAGCCACTTCCACATGAGTTCCATTCCCGTCTTCTGCCCTGGAGGAGATCCACATGGCGTGGCAGACCTCTCCTGACCCGCCCACTGCTCCCCTCAGCAGTGTCGATCTGCCTGTTCTGCTCCCCACTCTGTCCCTGGTGAATCCTCTCACCCTCCGCATCTCTGACCTGTACCCCAGTTCTGTATGAATAAATAAATAAATCTTTAAAAAAGCGAAACAGAAACAACAAAAAGCCTGCATTTAACAAGTATCCATTATGTATACATTTAACTTTATCGACAATTTACTATGAACTAATTAATACACTGAAAACTTTTATGTAACATGTGTGGTCTCATATACATATATATATATATATACACACACACATACATACCCATATATATATACACACACTTAAACATATATAATTCATTCAACTCACAATATGCAACAGCCAGTATTATTTTAAAGATGAGGAAACTGAGGCATAAAGATAAGCAACTTGACATGCAGATATGGTCCAAAGTTCAAAATCTCACCAAAGCAATTTAGAACCTTTACACTTCACTAGCACTTTCTCTTAGGCCACCTACTTCTAGCCTGCAGGGATATCAGATAACTAAACTAGTACTCACAATAAAGTAGTTCAAGAAGAAAGCATTGGGTGTTGCTACTGGAATTCTATCCACCTAAAGAGTTAAGAGGGCAATGGGTAAGAGGCAACAAGACATGAGTTTTGTTAGTAGAGTGGATGCTTGTGGGTCTGGGTGTGTCTGTCATTGAGAAAAAACAGGCACCACACTGAACAAGAGAGCAGATAAATGTGGATGTGTTGGAGCAAAAGGAAAGAGCCCCGGACAGCAGGAGGGGGTGAAGGAGGGATGCCAGCTTACTCCAGCTCTGTCTAGGACTGCAAACTGTCAGACTTCCTGTTGCCACTGTGCCAGACTATAGATTAGGCACTAGGTGGTCAGGAAGTTTCATGATTGTTTTTCTGGCCCCTAATTATCCTATAACCGATCTTACTCTAGGTGGTAGCTAGCTCAGCAACATTTCAGTCCTGGGAGCTGTTTGGTTCCTTCTGTTTCTGTGTTGTTTAAAATCACCACCCTGGGGCCCTCCCTGGTGGTGCAGCGGGTTAAAGCACTGCACTAAGAAGCTTAAGCCACTTCCTCATGAGTTCCATTCCCTCGATTCCCGCCTGCCCAGGAGGTGATCCACATGGCGCGGCAGACCTCTCTTGACCCGCCCGCTGCTCCCCTCAGCAGTGTACTTCATTGATCTGCCTGTTCTGCTCCCCACTGTCCCTGGTGAATCCTCTCACCCTCCGCATCTCTGGCCTGTACCCCAGTTCTGTATGAATAAATAAATAAATCTTTAAAATCACCACCCTGTGTCTCAGCCTTTCCTGTTGCCCCAGTTCTCCTGGTTTTAGCCCCTCTCCCATTGAGTAGGAGCTCACCAGATATAGCAGGTAGGACACAATGAAGGTCAAGTGTTCTAAGGGGAAGGGTTGGGTGAAGGGGAGGCAGCAAAGTTGATGCACTGAGGAGACTTGGATAAGTTAGGCTGGCAGGTAAGTGGAGTTGGAGGGAAAGAGTCTTATGAATGAGGGTGGAGAAGGAGGCAGGGGCAGTATAATGTGGGGCTTTTTTAAAAAAAAATTGAGGTAAAATTGGCTTACAGTGTGGGATTATGAGTATATGACTCAGAGGATCACACCCCTTCAGAGTAGGCATCTGGGTTTTATCCAAAGGACGATGTGAAACTATTGACTGATTTTAAGCAGGAGCTAGGGATCAGATTTGCATTTTAAAAAGCTCTCAACAACTTTTTTCTTATTAAGAGAAGATTAGAAGAAACTGATAATGGCTAGAAGCAGAAGTTTGTCATACAGAACATCTAAGGAGGAGAGAGCATGTGGGCCCCTATAAGGATCCTGTGGTAAGAGACATTGTTCTAGGGCAGCGACCTGGAGGGTAGAGGTTAATGGAATTATTCCAGTGATGTGATTGGTTAAAAGAGCATTAAGGCTGGAGAGGTAGCTGGTTTGGAAGGACAGAAATTTGGTTATGTTGACTGAAGCATCTTATATTACATCAATCTGTATTTTATACACCTCAGTACCATCTGAAGAAAAACATCTGAATTTTGATTTAACCTTAAAAAAGAAAGAAAGAAAAAAGAATGGAGAAAGAAAATTATACTGTGGGTTGGTATAATTTTTTTGTTTTAGATGAGGAAAATAAGGTTCACAGAAGTTGCCCAAAGGCAAACAACTAGAAAATGGATTTACAAATGGATCTCAGATGTTTTACTTGAGTAACCAGTCCTGGTACCTCAGACACATCTGAACCCTCTCCCTGTCTGCAGGTGTTGTATGCAGACTGAGGACACTCCAGAACCCTCAAACTTATACATTCAACAGGTCCGACCATCTGTGCACATAAAGACAATGAAAAAACTTTAATAAAATTAGTGTGCACTGAAAGTGTTAGGTCAGTCCAGGCAGTGGCGCAGTAGGG